TAGACACGTTGATAAGCGCTGAATTCCCGAATCCCAACGAAGATCCAGTACTTTATGAAGTTGTCAAAACGCATATGGTGCATGGCCCCTGTGGTACCATAAATAGAAATTCTCCCTGCATGAAAGATGGACGTTGCACGAAAAGGTATCCCCGTGCGCTGACAGAGCACACAGTAACAGGCGAGAACGGATATCCGCTGTACCGACGTCGTTCTCCAGAGCTTGGAGGGTTTACTGCACAAAGTAGAGTACAAGGACAAGAAATAATAATTAGTAATATGTGGGTTGTTCCTTATTCGCCCTTACTTTCCAAAACCTTTGGTGCACATATAAATGTCGAAGTGTGTAATAGTGTATCGGCAATAAAATACATTTGTAAATATGTTAACAAAGGGAGTGACCAAGCGACATTTGCTCTACAGGGAACCGACCGAGATGAAGTCACCAGATACCAAACTGGACGCTACATAAGTACTTCTGAAGCTATATGGCGAATATTAGGATTTTCTATCCACGAACGTCATCCCACGGTCACACACTTGGATGTTCATTTAGAAAACGGCCAGCGAGTGTATTTTGATCCTGAAAATGTAAGAGAACGTGTAGAAAATCCTCGGCAAACTAAACTTTTGGCATTTTTTAAGCTTTGTCAAGAAGATGATTTTGCTAAAACGCTAACCTACGATGAAGTACCGTCCTATTACACTTTTGACATGCAAAGACGTGTTTTTAATCGACGAAGACGCGGTCAACCAGTGGAAGGATTTCCAGGAGTTTATAGAGATGCTGCACTAGGGCGAGTATATACTGTTCATCCTAACAATAGCGAATGCTATTATTTACGCATGTTGTTGCATACAGTTCGGGGGCCAACTTCTTTTGCCTATTTAAAAACAGTTAATGGCGTCCAATACGCAACATTTCAAGCGGCTTGCCGGGCACTTAATCTTCTTGAAGGAGATCAACACTGGGATAACACCCTCGAAGAAGCCTGTGTCAGTGATAGTCCCAAACGTTTACGTCATTTGTTTGCAGTGATGTTAGTGTTCTGTGGTCTATCGGATGCTCTAACGCTGTGGCAAAAATATAAGACACAATTATCCGAGGACTTTCTACGCTTGCTTCAACGCAATTCAGACCAGCAAATAGATCCAACTGACGATAGAGTTATAAATAGTTCACTTTTATGTATACAAGACATAGTATTTTCGATTGGGGGTAATTCCTTGACCGACTACGGCCTGCCTAATCCTCAAACTCTACCCAATCAACCACGGGTAAATCGTGAATATAATTCCGAGACGAACTACAATATTGCTGCGTTAACCACCACTGTAAATGATCAGATTGGTTGTTTTACTGTAGAACAAAGAAATATATTCGATGTAGTCATCCAAAGCGTAAATAATAATGAAGGGAATTTATTTTTCTTGGACGCTCCAGGTGGAACGGGAAAGACTTTTTTGATAACAGCAATACTGGCTGAGATTAGGCGGCAAGGTAAGATTGCACTAGCAGTGGCTTCCTCGGGAATCGCAGCCACATTACTTCCTGGCGGAAAGACGGCCCACACGATGTTTAAAATCCCAATCGATTTAGACAGTAATGAGTCACCAACATGCTCTATCACAAGGAACTGTGATAAGGCGAAAGTGTTACAAGATTGCTGTCTGATCGTTTGGGATGAGTGTACAATGGCAAATAAAAAAGCCGTCGAAGCTGTGGACAGAACCCTACGTGATATTCGGCGAGATGAAAGGCCAATGGGCAACGTCACACTGCTTTTTTCTGGTGATTTTAGGCAAACACTTCCAGTTATAAGTCGAGGAACTAGAGCCGATGAAATTAGAGCTTCATTAAAGCGTTCCCACCTCTGGCCTCTAATGAAAAAGCTGCAATTGACGATCAATATGCGAGCACAACTAGGTGGTAATTTACATGCCCACGAATTCTCAGACATTCTTTTGAAACTTGGAGAAGGTACTCTTTCTGAAGAACATGGTAAGGTGACGCTTCCAGAAACAGTTTGCCGAATAGTTTCTTCAGAAGATGAACTTATAAATTCTGTATTCGGTGACCTATCACATATAACATATCAGGAAAATTCTTGGTTATGTGAACGTGCGATACTCACTCCCAGAAATGACCAAGCTGCTGCAATAAATCAAAAAATTTTATCTGAAGTGATTGGGGATGACGTCGTTTATACGTCTTATAATAGCGTTCTCAACCACGACGATGCTACACATTATCCTGTTGAGTTTCTGAGTTCGCTTTCTGCAAGTGGTCTTCCTGCGCACATAATTGTGCTTAAAATAGGTGTACCAATAATGCTGCTGCGTAACCTTACTCCTCCAAAATTATGCAATGGTACACGACTAAAAGTAACTGCTCTACAAAGAAATTTAATCCAAGCTCAGATTCTTACTGGATGTGGCTCAGGGGAAACTGTATTTATTCCACGAATCCCACTCATCCCTAATAACTTTCCATTTGAATTTAAGCGCACACAGTTTCCAGTAGCCGTTTGCTTCGCCATGACTATAAACAAATCCCAAGGTCAGACTCTCAGGACTGCTGGTGTCGACTTAAGATCTGATTGTTTTTCCCATGGTCAACTGTATGTGGCTTGCTCACGAGTAAGCAGCCCAGACAACCTTTTTATTCTAGCACAAGGCGGTAAAACGGTTAATGTCGTTTATAAAGAAATTCTTTAAAGTATCTCCATTATTTAACTTTTTTTTTAATTTGCTAAATTCAAACAAGTAATTAAAAAAACTAAAAAAAAACATTTTTACTTTATGCATATATCATAAACAAGTGGAAAACTAATAACGGTTTTTAGATGTAAGTTTTATCTCTATGAAGAGCTCTTCCAGCCATGAAAAAGGTGAAAAAAGTTGCAAAAGTATACTTACTCAATATAAAACTCAATATACTTCAAGCCCTGCCAATTTAGATAGTTTCCCAAAAGTTCTAAATTCAGAATATCATAAAGCAATTTTTAACCAACAAAAGAGAAGAGAAAGCTTAGGACAATCAAAATTCCACGCGGACGAAGTCGCGGGCGGCCGCTAGTCTAAGTATAAATCAAAAGAATATTTTACTAGAAAAAAAATCCACTCGGATCAGGCAGCAGACGGGACTCGAACCCGGTGTCCGGGCGAGTGCACTGACCATTATGCTACCGCGGCCCTGATTGCCGTGTCGAATTCTCTCTAGCCTTTCTTAAGCTGCAAGGCAGCGCCATCTTTTCGCATTGTAGATAACCCATATTTTTTTCTGGTAAACTTTAGATTTAAACATTGAGCAGTTACATATTTAAAAAATAAAAATATAAATCTTTGTTTTCTATATTTACGGCGTTGTGTGTGAGAATGTATATAATTATACAAATACATCAGGCATTGTGAATTTCTCTATAAAAACTTTAATAAAAAAAAAACGGTGACTATTCCATGAGAAAATGTGTAAAAAAGGAGCGCGAAAATTATAAGTATTTTTCTAAAATGCATATAGATCCTCAAAATATTTTTTTCTTGAGATATGTTCTATGTTAAATATTATCTTTCAATTAATCATGATACTAATTATAAAATCAGGTACTATTACATTCGTTAAATGCTACGATATCAATGGTTAGATGTAATTTGACATTTCATTTGTGGTTATTTTTTGTGCTATTCTGTAAATGAATAATAGATTGTTTATTAAATTAGTGACAAGTTTTTGTTATGACTATAATTAGGACGTTATTAGTTAATGTTTCTACTTATTTAATGTTATTTCATATCATTATTAATACAAGGTCTCCTGCCGTAAATTCACGAACTGATATGGTATAGTTTTCGACTTTCACGCGTGCTAGTAACAGAATAAATAAATTTCGGTTTGAGTTTTGAATTAAAAATTAACAATCAAAGGACAGATAAAAGTGCAATAAATTTAGTACTTACTGTCAACAAAGTCATAGAATTTCTAATGTTTCGCTTTACACACCCATAAATTTTGTTACAAAAATAATATACTATTTATAAGAAGTTACCGCCTAGCTCCCCAATGCCAAGATCATGTATTTTTAACGTGAAATTCTTATGACGTAAAAGATTTATTAGTACTGTCGACCGCAAGTTTATCTTGTCACGTTAGCTTAACGACTCTGTTGTTAAGGTTGAAGTTTATACTGGTAGATGTCAGATCTTTTTAATAAGGTTCAGAAGGAAACCGAACACATAAAATATACTAGCGGCCGCCCGCGATTTCGTACGCGTAGAGTAAGTTAGAAAAAAAGATTTCTCATTCCCCGTAGGTGATAGCGTGATAATATATAGCCTATATGTTGATCCGACTTCTTAATAATATTCGTGCCTAAAGTCACTCCATAGTATAACCTTCTATTGGCGAAATTAAATTTAGTTTGAACTTTGTTATCGAAAGTTCGTTTCGGAGAATAAGTGTAGACCCCCTGTGATTTATAGGTTTCGGCCGTTCTCAGAAAAGTAAAATAAATTTATGGTCAGTAAAAGTCACATGTGGTCCATTTTATTTTTATAGCAAAATGACAGCGCTAAATTTAATCAAACATGTATTGCTCAGGATATTGTAGACTAGCATTTGCTTCAAAGCATTTGCTGAAATTTGCGGCATAAACGGCTGTATCTTTTGATTGCGTTGACTCAGAAGTTTCATTTGTTCACAGCTCTAAACGACAGTAGACCTGTACCCCTAGCACGAACCAATATCAAAATCGTATCGTTTGTGAGTCCGAAATGTCATTGTCAAATGTGTCCTGATTTTAGTTCTCGTTACGTACTTTGTGTCGCTGCTGTTCAAGTTTCCATAAAAAAATAGACATTGACATTTCGGTTTGCAAACTATTCGAATTCGACAATCGTTCGTGCTAGGGGTACTGTACCCCTAAATAAATAACGTGTATACATATAAAAGAATACATTCCGAGCAAATGCATTGAAAATATTTATGTATTTGTTTATTCTCAGAAAATGCCTGCTGAAGCATTGCACGAGGCGTTCACGAAAGCGGGCGAGAAGGCCGGCATCGAAATCTGGAGGATGGAAGTAAGTACCAAATTTATATTTAAGCACACTTTATATACTCCAGCTGTTAGCGCGTTCGGCTGTGATCGTTGAAGTTGAGCAACTTTCGCAGTGGGTCGGTCATCGGATGGGTGACTAAAAATTTACAATCTCGAACTCCAAACGAACTAAAATAAATATGTAATTATACAAGAAACATAATTAAAGAATTTATCAATTTTAATTATAAATATAATAAAAAGCTATTGTAGTAATAATGAAGTTAAATTAGGAATAATGAATAATTCATTATTTATAATTGTATTTATGGAATGTCCGTTGCACGCTAATACAATTTACTTTTGCTATGCCCAAATGCAGTGTTGCCATCAAGTTTAACAGAGTTGCCGTATTCGATACATCAGATTGCCGTATTTTTAAATAAAAATCATGATATTGCGGTATTACTTTTTATTTATTAAAATTTATAGGTAGTTAGTTACAATAGTAACTATATTATTAAGAAAAAAATAACCTACTCATTAATATCATCGCCATACAGATTTCTAATAGATTCAACTATTTCGCTGTCGTGTTTTTTAAACAATATTGGTCATTATGTTTTTATTTATTTTTAAGCATTTAACTGCTAGATGTTTAAATCTAAAGAAAAGTTTACTAGAAAAACATCCACGCGGACCAGGCAGCGGACGGGACTCGAACCCGCACCCTTCGCAATCCGGGCGAATGCACTGACCATTATGCTACCACGGCCCTATTCGCCGCGTCGAAATTTTCCTAGCCTTAAGCTGCAAGGCAGCGCCATCTCTTCGCATTGTAGGTAACCCATAATGTCAAATGAATAATTTTTCAAGTATTAAACATTTGAAAGTAGAAATAGCAATTATAGTCCTTAATAATATTTGTCCTTGTTTTTAATTTTCACACACACGCCACGGGATGGCTGTAATCTTATACTGTTTACTTGATTTCTGATGGCTTGCTTTGCCAACAGAGTTCTATTTACTAGGAATGTATCCTAAACTTATCTAACTAGGAATGTATCCTAAACTACAATTTAATGTGATGTTTTGTTGGAATTGTAATTAACTCAAAACATTATCCATGTAAATCGATTCAAAACCAAAATTGGATTGCCGTATAATCTGAAATTATGAGCTCGAATTGCCGTATATTACGGCAATTGAAGTATCAATGGCAACGCTGCCCAAATAATATAACATAAATAAATAATAATAACATTTTTTATACAATTGTGATATGCAATAAATGTTTTGGTCCCGGCTGCATCTCTGCAGTCGTTAGCGCCCACCAATCTGCTCTGGGCCCGCGTGGTGGGTCGCGGCCTCATCTCCCTTTGCCATCCATAGGGAAGGCTTGTGCCTAATAGGCTGATGATAATGATGACTCTTTAGGGGCCGTCCATTAATCAGGTGATGTTTTTTTTGGCATCCCCCTTGGTGATACGTGGTGATGTTTAAGACTAAGTTAAACAAATGGAATCAGATGATATTTATTTTAGACACAAATTAGGTTCCTTATATACTATTTATTAATTAGATGCTTTTTTAATTTTATATAACTGTTTATTAATTAGATGCTTTTGTAATTTTTATCTTTAACTGTACTGTATATTGCGATACCCTGACAGGGTTCATGTTAGGTACTATAAACATTTTGTAACCATCGATGTAACCACATGAGTGCAATAAATTGAATTGAATTGAATTGAACTATCCGCCCCCTGCCCCTATATTACGTGTATTTTTTACTACCTACAATAAATCTTATTTTTTTTTTAAATATTTATAAAATACAGGTATAAGTATCATCTAATTTTATTATAGAAAATTAAAGACTTACCAATAATAACTAACTTAGTTAATAGGACAGAAAGATTGCAGGTTGTTTTTGACTGACATTAAAATAATGATTGAAATGCGAAAAACTTTTTTGTACTAATACATGAACATTATCGAATGTTACGATATCAGAGTGAAGCAAATCCTTTGGATTAGAATTGAATCCCTCCAAGACTACTAGCATAATAGTAGGTAGTTCTAGGATGATAGATAGAGTAGACTGGCAGTCAATACCCAATATACAACTGGCTGGTAATAATGTTCCTTTTAGCGCGTCGGTAAAAAACTTGAGGTTTTTGACAATTATTTGAGCTGGGGTCCGCAGATGCAAGTGGTCAGCCGCAAATTGTTTGCCTCAGCTGCGTCACTTAGGAGACTACGTAATTTCCTACCAAATTTTCCTTAGCACAGTCTTTGTTGCTACCCATTCTTGATTATGCTGACGTCTGCTATCTTGATCTTACGGAGGACCAACTAAATAAGATTGAGCGACTTCAAAACTTTTGTATCCGCTTCATATTTGACTTCTCAATTTCGTCCGCAGCTTATGTGGCTACCTATTCGTCTTCACCCGAATACTCATATTCTTGCTGTCCTTTACAACATATTGTTAAATCCTATGCCCCCGCGCTATCTTAAGGAATGTTTTAATTTCCTTCATACTTCTTACACGTTATCCCTTAGGTCATCAGAAAATCTTACTCTCATGACTCCTGTACACGGCACATATTTTTATAGCCGTTCGTTTGCAGTACGAGCCGTACATCTGTGGAACTCTCTCCCAGTTACCATACGACGTGCGGAATCCATTCACGCTTCTAAAAACTATTCTATTTTATTCACTTTATTTTAATGGTCTGGGTTATTTGGCTTGTGTTTTATGTCTCTTTTTAATTATTTTGTCAGACCCAGTCCCGGGGTGACGCTATTCCATACGTCCCCGGGGGCTGGGGCTGAGGGACACTATCTATTAGGTACTGTGATTCCTTTACCCCATTAATGGTGCAAAAGAAATTTATCAGATTCATCTGCGCCCTTAATGCTGCATATAAGGGAAATACTTAGATTAATATTAATGGTGCAAACGAAACCATTCAGTCACACACATCTGCACCTTTAATGGTGCAAGTATTGATTGAATGGTGCGTTCTGTACAACGTTTAACATTACTTCATGAGGTGTTTTGCTTATACCTTCATACATTACACTGGACTACATGACGTTCAAATACAACTCCCAATTTGTTGCCTCTGATTCCTCCCACACAGGCCACAAACGCCAACACTACACAGCTAGCAAACTTGCACACTAGCTTAGCATTAGGCAGACACCGCACCCTTAGGATAAGAATGCGAAGACCCGGTCTACACACGATCCGCTATACCAGTTACAGGTACATACCAGGGTGTTTTTCCCCGTCCCCCACGACAACGGCTAACTAGAGCCGAGGTCCGAGTCTCGGAGACGCCCTCTAGTTGAGCCGACTCAGGTCGAGTGGTCTGGAGGCTCCAGACGGAGAGGAAACTCCCCTTGGGGAGATGCCATCCGCCGGGAATATCTCTAGAAGCACTCGCCAATTCTCGGCTTGAGGTCCCCTTAGGATCTCGCCGTCCCAAAACCCGGTGACGCTGTAAAGGTCATCTACGACAAACAGCATATACACTCAAAAAAAACCGCAATTTATTAATCTTTTTATTTTTAGTACGCGCAGTTCGACAATGGAATCGATGTTTTTAAACAATGCACTTTGGCGATCTTGCAAAACATTCCACATCGTACATATTCGCTTAGTACCTAAACTTTCTAATGTTACAAACATAAAAGACGAAAACAATGCAATTATGCCTAATAAACTACCCGAAATGTCCGTGCAGCCATTATATATTGCCGAAAATGCATCGAAAAAAAACAAACTATAAAAAGATTAATGAACCCAGACACAGAAATAAACTAGCAACACAAGAGTAGGGTGTGCTAATTTTAAATTGTATAAGTCACAGAATAGTAAAAACCAGTAAGTTGAATTTTCTACTATAGTTACAACTTACCATAAGAATGCAATCATGCAGAAGTAGCCTGTGTCAGGAGATACTGCTCTTCCTTAAAATAGATAAAGGACACAAGGATTTGTAGCTTTCTAGGTTAAAAAAAAATACAATTAATTTTTTTTTCGGTCTAATAGTTTTTTATATTATTAATGCGATTGTGCCTCTGTATGAAGTACGAAGAAGTTCGAAGTTTCTTTCTTAGTATATATATTATCTATACTTAATATAATAGAGAAGAGAGAAAAACGGGAAATACATAGATGAACTATGAACCGCACTATCGGTGCATCACTCTGTCACACTTACTCGTATAAGACCAGTTTGACAGGTAGTTCGAGGATTTTATATCTTTGAAAAAAAGTATTGTTGCATTTATTACCTACTGGTACTTCTTTATGCTGTGACTACGTTTGTCGTTTCTGTTTACCGATATATCACAGGAGATAGATGTCAGTACCTACCACAATTGGACGTAGTTACGCGAAAACGTTCCAACCCACAGCGACCCCATTTTGAGATAAACGCAATTTTGTGTTTTAGCGGTACACTTTTTCCCTGTAATTATTTCAGGCAAATACTATTGGTGTTACTGTGGAATGCCAAATTGGTTATTGAATGATATGCATATTTTTTGTAAATACATAATACAAGGGGCATATAAATAGGTAAAACGAGTTTGAAACGTTTTCGCTAAATTTAATTTTGTATGAACCTTGTTAAATAGCAATTATGCATAAACGTTCCAGAACGAATTTAAGTGTATTATTTTATAAATATATCTAAAATAAATATGTAAAATAATAAATAACAATGAGGAACATACAAAAACAACAAAAATTTGAAAATGTATTACAAAAAAAATAGAACGTGATCTTTTGAGCTTTGAACCTATGCCAATTTGCTGATATGGTTCCAAAAGTTATCAAAAACTTATATTATAAACATTCAATTTTCATCATCGTATTCTATGATCTCGAAGTCCGGAACTCCACCAAACCCATCAACATCATCAGTGCTTCTTCAGAACAGAAGGCAATCCACTTCCTGTGCACCTCTTCCTACCTCTCCTTCTACCAATACATAACAATGCCCAGTATCATTAGATGCACTA